ACTATACATTTTAAACTTGGACATACACTTTCTAAACTGTTTGAAAATATTCCTCATGAAGAGTTTCAGTGGATTTTTACCTTATTTATTTAAAATATTAAAATGCCAAACTTTCCAATTAGTTTGCAAGGATTGATCAATATCAGGTAAGATTAAAAAAAAAAAAATGTTAACTGTATTCCCACAAAAACCTTTTCAAAACCAGCAGATGGAACTGAAAAATGAGCATCATAATTTAGCAAACACAGCCAACAATTTATTTCTTCATTGTGGACTGGCATATCCTTAATAAGGCATCTTTTTCAACTATGACAGACATTAAAATCAAGTATAAAAAGAATCCGAACTTGGGACCTCTGAATCACTGCATTACTATTAACTCAGATTTTAAAAAAATGATGATGCATAGTCAATCATAACATTCTCACTAAAATTTTTTTAAATGTTAATCAGTTTATTACAGTCAGTTCTCATTATTCACAGTAGTTATGTTTTGTAAAGTCATCACAAACACCAAATAAACCAATACTGCACCACTGTTCCTAGGAGAAATACAGGGCTAGATTCCTGCAAGCCTCTGGTCACAACACTTCTGTTCACCGATCAATACATAACCTTGTTTTATGTATGTTTCTGTTTAAAGACATCTTATTTAATACATGCTTTTGATTCACTAACATTGAACTCATGTCAACAGCATATAACTCATACCTCAATAAAGGTCATCTAACACATGTGTTTTCTCTGTAAGGCACATCACAGCATGCTTGTGCTTAGGAACACTAGATAGCACTTTAATACTATACTTTGGGGTCATTTTGAACAGCAAAATCACCAACAAAAAGTACAAAAATATGAAAAACATGTCCCTAAATAGTCCATGAAAAGGACTCTTGTTTACATTGTGAGAGCTGAAATAAGGAAGGCAGACTATCACCTTGTTTAACTTTAGCTGGGAAGATGTGCATCAGGCAACTGAATTTTTTCATCACTGTGTGCATGTCTGCGAATGACCAAAACAGCACCACTAGTATTGATTTTGGGGCTACAAATAAATTTTAGGGAAAAGGCAAATTTGCAAATACAGAATCTGTGAATAATGAGGATCGACTATATATTCCTCACATTGAAGATATTTTAATTATTTTCATATAACAACATAATTTACTTTAAAATTTTATTTCATCTTTATCTCATCCTGATTAAGTATAACAAAAGATGCATGCTGTTGTTAGGTGCCATCGAGCTGGTTCTGACTCATAGTGGCCCTATGTACTACAGAATGAAACACTGCCCGGTCCTGTACCATCCTCACAATCGTTGCTGTACTTGAGCCCATTGTTGCAGCCACTGTGTCAATCCATCACATTGAGGGTCTTCTTCTTTTTCGCTGACCCTCTACTTTACCAAGCATGATGTCCTTCTCCAGGGACTGATCCCTCCTGATAACATGTGAAAAGTATGTAAGACATAGTCTCGCCATCCTTGTTTCCAACAAGCATTCTGGCTGTACTTCTTCCAAGACAGATTTGTTTGTTCTTTTGGCAGTCCATAGTATATTCAATACTCCTCACCAACACCACAACTGATGCATATGCTTGTAAATTTACACACCCACACCCACACACACAGAGGGTGGATGCTTAAGACATTTTACTAATAAAACATAATGAAAAAATATAATCAAAAAAGTTCCAAGGCCACTATCCTAATGTCTCCTACTTCAAATAGTGATCAAAAATGAAAATTATTATAACAAAAACATAGTAAAAATATTTAAAATAAAAATTAATGTCAATAATTTTAATATTTTTAATAATTTAAATTAACAATTATTTAATAATAATTTAATAATCCTGTAAGAGATGATTTCATGTACTCAAAGCAAACAATACTATGAAAATAGGTAAAGAATTATTGAGATGGATACTGAAAACATGATCAAGTTCATGTTGCAGTGATCTGGATCAGTTATGAAAGCAGCCAGAATAATCCTACAATCCAGTTCAGGGCACAGACTCCAATTTTGTTTTAATATGTTCTTCAAAAAACATTTTGTAGCCTCCTAAAACCTGAGACAACTCTTCTTTTAACTCCATTAAGAAATGATGTTCTTCACAGACCATTCCATTCACTTCTAAAATGCTGCTAAGGCTTTTGCCATTGGTCACCTGCCACTTAACCGTTTTCCAACATCACACCTGCTATTCTGGATTAACATACCCTGGAGGCCAAAAACTCAATACACTGGAAACATTTAAAGAGTGAAAAGTTCATAACTTTGAAATTTGTGACTTCCTCTAGTATTTAGAAGAGAAGAATGTTAAACATGCTGAGTGTAAACCATGCTGAGTGTCTCTTCTTCTAATGATATGGATATTCATAAACACAGACCCTTAAATCCTACATATGTGAATCATGTGAAGTACTTCCCAAAATAAGCCAGTTTATACAGTAATCCTTGGGGTTTAGTATAGGAGATTTGTGACAAATAACAAAGGAGAGCCAAAACAGAAGAAAAATGCCCTGTGCAAGAGATTTTTCTTTCTATTTTCCTAAGCAGCGAAAATGTCAAGAGAAGCCAGAGCCTAATCTCCAGTCCACATCAGTACAGGAAAGGAACTGAAAGACTATTTCTAGTAACTAGACTGAGGATATGGTGTGCAACAGTTGCTGGTACCTAGAACGACCAGCACCAACTAGGGAACCTTAGAGAAGCCCAATAAAAAAGGTACCATGAGCTCTGTGGCAGCCCTGTGTAGGGCAGACTACAGCACCAAGGGCCTCATGGGTCCTTCCCAGGACACCAAGATGCCCTACTCCTAACTTCAGTGTGTAGGCAAGGGAGGTGGGAAAGGGATCTATGGTCTAAGCCAATATATGCATCTTATAGATCCAATGTTTGTTGATGCTATTTTTTATCATTAAATCTCTTTCTACAACATTTTCAAATGAGATTCATTCAATTCTCTTGTCAGTTGTCTTGCAGGATATGTTTTTTCCAGTCATTGAATAGGAATCAAATAAATATAATGCAGGTAAGATATATAATTCCAAAAGTTACACATTTCAATCTAACCTTTGTTAATCAGAATAGAGGTGATATTTCCTCTTGAAATAACTTAGTTTATTTGAAACCTTTTAAAAGACACAAAACCCAGAAAATTAATAACACTGATTCAGTGAAAATAAATCAATCCTCAAAAAGCAGAGAGAGAGTCTTCCAATATGATCATCCAGTCAAATAATTAGGTGTGCTGTAAGGAAACAAAAACTACACCATTATTAGAGGCAAGCAGCAACTGTAACAAACTGAAAAGTAAATATCCTCTTGTTTCTAGACAGACTGCTTATCGAACTATCCAGAAGCACCGCTGAAACAAGGCTATATAGAAATGAGCACACACAGATCAATATCCACAATATGACACCCATGCAGAAAAAATTCCACTCTAGCTAAAGACAAAGCTCAGTGGCAATATGCCATTGGCACAGAGCTAATAATCAGGCTAAAGATATTCACCAGACCAGTAATTGAGCTTCATATCTTTAGAAACACCAGAATCATTCAAAGGGAAGTAGAAACTTAGAAATGTTCAAAACCATGAGAACAAACAGGGAAAGGAGGCAAAATGAGCATCTTTATTTTTGTGAGTTTACAAGTCAGAAATGCTCACATTCATAAGTGTTTATCCAAGTGAGGGGAAAGAAAGGAGTGAGAGGCAGCTGTGGAGGGGGGCTGTGTGGAACTGTGTGAGGCTGTATATGGCTGTGGAGAGATGTGGGAGGGGGTGTGGAGATGTGTGGGAATGTGTGGAGATATATGCAGGGTGTTGAGGGAGTGGGGGTCATGGAGATATGGTGGGGATCTGTGATGGATTTAGGAGGATGTAGGGGACTATGGAGTTTCTTGGGGAGGTTAGGGGTAGGAGGGTTGAGAGATTGCAATGAAGGGCATGAAGGTGGGTGGGGTGTGTGTGGAGTCTATATGGGTACTTGGGCATTGTGGAAGGTTATGTGGGGGTCTGTGGGGGTATAGAGGTATATGGGTGTGTGTGGTGGGATGTGTGCATGGTAAATACACAATAGGCACATGCACATACATATTACATGCATGCACCCTGTGCAAATGTATGTGCTTATTTTTGGTTTGTGTAATGGCACAAATAAGTGTGTATTGTTTTCTTTTATTTGAAATTCCCTTATCTTAAAATTGCACTATGTACAACTGTCTTTCATAAATGGCAAAAATTCAAATTAAAGACATAGAATTCTACATTTGTGTGAAATTCCCCTGTAATTGAAATAAATCAAGCTGATTTTCTTCACAAATTCATGAACTCTAAGTTGGGACTTTACAATCAGGAACTTTATTGTACACCGTTTCATAGAATTTGGGGACCTGAGAGATACATCATTGAAAATCAAATCATCAGTATGTCATCATATTTCATCTCTGGAACTACGAAAGACAGGTGACAGTCTTATTTCCAGAAGCATTATCTCTATGCCTGTTCCTTATCAACTAGCATCCCATCAAAAGCAAGCATGGATAGGAGTTGAGAAAAACACACACACAAACTCACACGTTTCCTTCCCAGTTTCCTGTATACAGTTTTCTCCTTAACTGCAAGATTGCCCTGCCATAGTCCATAAAGCTGTGCACAATCTGGTTGACCCATTCTAGAAATGGTTTCTCACTTCATGGCTACTTTAATATTCTAGCCCATTTTGAAGAAAAGGGTCAGCCTTCGACTAAAGCCAAATTTCAGATATAATTTTAGTTTTAGCATTCTCTTAGTCCCTATATAAAGTTATTCTGCACAAGTTTTATTTTCTACTCCTCTTTCAGTTCATTTGGTAGTACTGAGACTTACACAGGGAGATTTTTTTCCCCAGTAAGAAGCCTATTGTTCACTTACCCACACAAATACAATACATTCAAAAGTAAAGCATTTCTTAGGTTTTGATTTCAGAAGATTTTATTTTCATGTTCTTACCTCTGAATTGTTGAGGTGGCATTTGTGAGTTCCTGAAAACCAGCCATCACTTGAACACTGGTCAATGTCCACCTTCTGAAGATTTATGTCAACTTTCATGACACCCCTTAAAAACAGAGAAAGATAAAAAGAACAGATTAGTCTGAGCCTTTACAATTTCTAATTCTGTATTCTACCCTGGGAATTAAACAAAGAACAGAGTAAAACTTTTTCCAATTGCTCAGTCATATTCACGGAAAATGCACCAAACAAAGATAGAGACACAATAGCCAGAATCAGTACAGTACTAGTTGTACGTTAGTCCCAAAGGCTCTGTCTTCAGGTCCTAGCATAATGTCTAGCACATAGTAAAACCCATTGCCACTGAGTCGATTCTGACTCATAGCGACCCTATAGGACAGAGCAGAACTGCCCTATAGGGTTTCCAAGGCTGTAATCTCTATGGAAGCAGACTGCCACATCTTCCTCCCACGGAGCGGCTGGTGGGTTCAAACTGTCAACCTTCTCGGTTAGCAGCTGAGCGCTTAACCACTGCGCCACCAGGGCTCCTAGAAGGGATCCCTAGTAGGGTGCTCAATAAATATTTGTTGATTGACTGAACTCCAGACATGGTAGCAAAGTAGACTCTGAAATAATACCGGCTCCCAGTGCCTCTTCTACTAAAGTAACTCAAAACAAAGCCCTCATCTCATTATCTTCTGCTCCTATTTCCCATTGCAGGGCTAAGACGTAGGCAAGTTGGGGGTCAGAGGGAAAGGGCAGTATCAGAAACTAAGCATCCCTTTCCTCCAGTCTTCTATCTCTATGATTTTAAACAGTGCTTTAGGTCTCCCTGTGCTCCAAATGAAATACAGAGATTTGCATCATCTACAAAAGTGCCGATCAATATTTTTTCTTTTACATCTGGAAAGAAAAACATTATTTCACATAGCTATTTGCAAAAAGTCACTAAAGAAAAAGAACTCACAAATTCAGAGCCAGTCAAAAGCAAAATCGTAAAAAAAGCTTCAAGTCTGTCTAAAATTATCCCATTTTCTCCAACCAACTTCCTTAAATTTTCCTAAGATGCCTCCCTTCTATTTTCACCACTATGACTACTAGGAGCAGCAGTAGAAACATTTATCCAAACTGAATTGCCACACCTAGACTTTATTGAAACAAATATTGTGTTTCCCGGGCCCTGAAGCCCTAAGCTTTGTAATGTAGTTCTTTTTTTCAAACTTGAGCAAAGTATAAAACAGCTACTAAAGGTAAGAACAAATTTTCAAGGTCTCATCTCCTCAACTTAAATTATTTTCATCATATTACTTAAACAGGTACAATCATAAATCTAGGCTCAAAATATCTATGCTATAGCTCTGATAGCTACAAAACAAAATTACAAAATAAATGCAAACAAAGCTATAAAACCAACAGAATTTAAATTAGCAATATTAATTTAAAAGGATCAATGTTATGCCTTGCCAAAACTAAATCACCTCTCAAAACTGAAACATGGTGCCGATAGTTACGCAAGCCTATTGTTGTTGTTAGTTGCCATCGATTCTAATTTATGGAGACCCCATGTGTGCAGAGTAGAACTGCTCCATAGGGTTTTCAAGGCTGTGACCTTTCAGAAGACTTACTTCCAAAGGATTGCCAGGTCTTACCTTCTTTTTTTAAATTTTTTTATTTTTAACATACATTGTTATGAGACCCCAACAGCTCACCCCATTCTGCGACAGCACACTCCTCCCCTCCGCCCCTGATTCCCCATGAACATTCAACCAGCTCCTAACTCTCTCTGCCTTCCCATCTCACCTCTGGACAGAAGTCGCCCCTTTGGTCTCTTGTATCTACTTGTCTAAGAGGCACA